AATAGGGCGTATCCTGCTGCCTGAGTTCCCCTTGAGTTCTCACGGGATTTAGACAGTATATTTTGGGAGACAGAAGCCCAGTGGAGGTGGATTTGGGCAGAGAACGTGGATTTGGGCAGAGAACGTGGATTTCCCCAGAACGTGATTGTAGACAGCTGGTGTGAGTTCGGGAATAAAGAGTTGCTGTTTGAATCTACAAGCTGTGTGGTGGCTCGTGATTGTGTGCCCAGCCAGACTGCGGCATTTGTGCCCAGCCAGACTGTGGCACATTTTATGTGTGCATTCATCACTTGATGAACACTTGGACTGCTTTCACTTGCCGGCTATTATGAATAAAATCACTCTGGTTATTTATGCACGAGCGATTCTATGGACATATGCTTTCATTTCACTATTTTGGATACAATGGAGTGGCATTTCTGAGTCATATGGGTTGACCTTTTGAGGAACAGCCGGAGGTTTTAGGAAATCTTCCCATCTTACCTTCCTACCAGTCAGACATGGCAATTCCAGTTTCTCCAGCTTCACCAACACTTGTTATTATGTGTCTTTTTACTTCGCATCATGCTAGCACTTCTGGTTACTTCTTGCTGCATTAAAAAAAAACGATAGCTACACGTGCCATAGTTTAACTAATGGGTTGGGGCTGACAGTGGGTGGCTGGGAAGAGGCCTCCCTGTACAGCAAACAACCTAAAATTAAGTGCTGACATGGGGCCCTTCTGGCTGGTTGAGTTTCCTCTTTGGGACCTGTGGTCTCGTTCTCTGTGCAGGCCCCCTTGTCCCCCTCCATGGTCACTCATTTTTGGTCCCCTGACCCTTGTTCCGAGATTCACAATTCTTCCCAGTCTGTCACATAGAACCATCTTAGCTCCCCAATATCACACTTATCCACCAGACTTGCCCCCAAACTACCTTTCTGCAACCAAACAACTGCTAAAATGGATTCATTCATTCATTCATTCATTCTTCTTCTTTTTTCTTTTGGAGGGGGATTTGACTCCAGTGTTTTCCCCTCTGAAAATTTCCACAAAATCAAAACACACACACACACACACACATAACTCACGTCCCAATAATAAAGTTACAGAATGAAGAATAAAACCCTCTCTCTCCTCATCCCAGCCCATTCCCCCAAAATAGACACAGGTAACTATCTCGTGAGTATTTTCACTATTCTCAAGAGCTGAGATAAATAGGCACATGTGTGCGTAGCATCCATCATGCCGGACACTGGTCTGCAACTTTTATCTTTTCATTAATAATATGTGATTACAGACCTAGGTCCAAGTTCAGTTCATCCCATTTAATAACCTGGGCAGTCTGCGCTGTGGATCTAGCATGATTTGCTCACCCATTTCCCCACGGTGGGCATCTAGATTGCTCACAAGCTAGCACCATTGCTACCGTCCATTACCAGCAATGATAACGGGCCCCTGACTCTTGCTGTGGTGAAATCATTTGACAGGAACCTTTGTCTACCAGGCTGGGACTGAGATGAGGCAAGTGAGCGCCTCACTACTCCAAGCATTTGCAGGACCCTGGTAATGAGCACCTCCTTGCCTTTGGCTCCCAAGACCCACCCTTCTTGCCAGGTCTTGGTCCCCGCCCTATTACCTACTATATACTTCCACCTCTCTTAGAAATGGGTGGAATGAACAAGGGTCTTAACCTTAGTTATCCCAAATATGGAGTTGCTTTTCCCTTCCCCACTGAATTGGAATGAAACCTTATTCTATATTAAGTCCATACACATGCTCTAATTTGTTCCATTAAATCCATTTATTTTTACTAGGTGAGAGCCATATTGTATTTGTCTGTAAAACTTTATAGTAAGTTTTAACATGTAGCAGGCCAAAATCTCAACACCTACTAATCTTTTTCAAAAACGTCTCAGCCATTGTTTAAAATATATTTTCCTCCTCGACTTTTAGAATCATTTGGACCAGTTCCACCTATTTTAAACTTCTAGAAAGTATTTTGGCTGCTGTAACAGAGTGTGGTTGACCGAGGGGCTAAAACGACAGACATTTCCTTCTCACCGTTCGGAGGCTGGGAATCCCAACATCAGGCGCTGGCAGACCCGGTGTCTGATGAGGGCCCTCACCCTGGTTTGCAGATGGCTGTCTTCTCCTTGGATCTTCACAGGCCATGAGAGCAGAGATCAAGAGCAAGTTCTAGGATTGCTTCTTATAAGGGCACTGATCCCAGACACGAGAGCGCCAACCTCTGGGCCTAATCACCTTCCAAACATCATCATGTTGAAGGTGAGGGTTTCAACAGACTAATTTTGGGGGAGGGGACACAAACGTTCAGTCCATAATGAAAAGTCACCCATGGTTTCCTTTAATCCTCATCCCAACCTGATATGGTCGGTACTACAGAGGAGGAAGCCGATGATACTCAGAAAAGGAAGGTACATACAGTACAGAATCTTACAGTGAAGCAAAATATAGTCAACAAGTCATTTAACTGCAGAGCCCGCTCTCAAACACCCTTAAATAGGAGTGGACAATCATAGACTTTCAGGGTGGCTGCCGTGATTTCGGCTCTCCCACTGGGAAGGAGCTTGGCTGATGGAGGGTCTTCCCCACAACATTCCCAAATCCATGGTGAGGCCATGGTGAAGCCATACTCATCAGGTAGGAGAAATTCGTGTGGAGCCCAGAGATCCCCTTGAGTGCTCTCGAGAACCCCTACCTCCCAGCAAACCTGGACAGAGAGGGGTATCAGATTCCTCCAGGAATGAATTTTGGGGCGTTCCCCCACGTAAGCCACCAGAACCTGCCAAGGTGAGGGCTGAGAATGAGTGACCTTCAGACTGGAGGGTGGAGAAGGGAGAGGATGAATGTGAGTTTGGCCTCAAGATCAGCTGCAGCTACGGGGACCGACTTTGTCCCACTAACTTTCTTCTTCTGAGTTTCCTCTCGGGAAGAGAGACTCGTGGGCCAAGGGCTGCTACCTGAAACTGGGGAGAACGAATACTTGGCATGTCATAAATAGAGCTGAGTCCTCCCCAAATTCATATGCTGGAGTCCCAAGCCCCGGGACCTCAGAATGTGACTGCATTTGGAGAAACAGGGTTTTTAAAGAGATGATTAAGCTTAAATGAAGTCAATAGGGTGGGCTCTGATCCAATGCACCTGTGTCCTTATAGGACGAGGTTAGGACACAGAAACACACAGAAGGACAGTCATGGGAGGGCATCTGAAGAGGACAGCCATGCCAAGCCAAGGAGAGAGGCCTCAGAGGGAATCAACCCTGCTGACCCCTTGACCCTGGGTTTCCAGACTCCAGAAATGGGAGGAAATAGTGTTCTGCTGGCCACGTCCCTCAGTCTGTGGTGCTGTGTAACACCACCTCTCACACACTGATATATGGCCCACGCTGCTCTCTTTGTCTGTTTCTTAGGACGTGGACCAATACACCTGGTAAGTGTGGACGCCCTCCCTGCCCCATTTCACAGATGCATTAACTGAGCCACTCCACAGGATTCTGTCTGCACCACCTCTCTGTCCCTAGGCACCTGCCGTGATTGATAGGGAGCATTTTTTTTTTAAGAGAGAGAGAGAGAGAATTTTAATATTTATTTTTTAGTTTTCGGCAGACACGATGACATCTTTGTTTGTATGTGGTGCTGAGGATCGAACCCGGGCCGCACGCATGCCTTGTGAGCGCGCACTACCGCTTGAGCCACATCCCCAGCCCAATAGGGAGCATTTTTGAAGCTTCTCTTTGTTCAAACTGTGTTTTGTAATTAATATTGTGAAAAAAAGGGTCTTTTTAAGGAATTTTCTTTGAGATAATAAATTCATATCCCTGTTCTCTGATTTATTCTCTGCTTAGCACTCAGGGCTAACATTTTTTTTTTCACATTTTACTTATTTAGCTTGTTTATTGTCTGATGCACAATTACTGGATGAATGAACTCCCCACTTCCGTTCCCTCTGCTCTCCCAGTGAGATAGCTGATGTCAGTATCATCTTGCCATTTATCTTGTGGCATCTTGGAATGCTTGTTGATTGGAAGCTCCTTGAGGGCAGGTTAGACTGAATGAGGGACTTCCAAGTTCATCCTAGGTTGTGTTCGGAAGGTGTGGTGGGACTGTGGAAAGCTCGCCCTCCTCATTCTGCTCCCCCATGGCTAAGTTTAGAGGGGGTGGTCCAGCTTGGAAGGGATTCAGATTGTAATTCATGATGAGTCAGCAGATAACCAGTGGTGAATCCAAATTTCCAGGTAAATAGGTATGAGGCAGAACCAAGTAGGAACCAGGTGCTAAGTGGGGTGGCCACACGGCTCAACCATTAGGACAGAATCAGGGCGACATTGTATTTTAAAAGAAAAGAAGAGGGGCTGGGGTTGTGGCTCAGTGGTAGAGCGCTGGCCTAGCCTGTGTGAGGCACGGGGTTCGGTTCTCAGCACCTCATATAAATAAATAAAATAAAGGTCCATTAACAACTAAAAAATATTTTTAAAAAAAAGGAAAAAAGAAAGAAAGAAGGGGAGGTATCCAGAGAGACAGTGCTTGGAGTTGATGCTTTGGGCTTTGGGGCTGAGACTGTCCTCTTGGAAGTTGGGAGGTTGGGGCACAGCTGGGAAGGAGGGAGCTCGGTCCATCTTCAGGAGCTGTGAGGCTTGTCAAGAACAGGGCTCTGACTTGGGGCACTGGCATTCTCCAGTAAAGGGGGTTCCTTAGAGCGTGAGCCCCAGTTCCAGGAGGTACTAGGGAAGGCACTCAGGCAGAGTCTGTGCTGACCGGGGCTGGACCCAGCTTGCTCACCTCTGGGGCCACAGCATAGGAAGGAGGCAGATACTCTAGAGCTGTGAGTACCAGTGACAGCCCCAGGCTGGTTAGGAAAGGAATCCCTTCCTGCTCCTCCTTAGGGGTCATAGGGCGCCCTCCTCCTCTCCCTTGATTGAAGGAATGGGGCTGGTTTAGCACCTCGTGGAGTTTGGGCCTCTGCCCCAAATGTTACTGAACAACTTGGTGTTGGTTGATACTTAGTGACACGTTTACTTTATTGAAGTCAAAGTATGACAAGTTTACAGTATTAACTTTCAGTGGGTTCCTGTGGTACCAAGGCTCTGTGGACATGTCTGGCAAATTAGACCCTTATGCCGCCTTCAACTCCTTAAAAAAAAAGAAAAAAGAAAAAAGAAAAGAAAGCTTATTTTCAGATTTCAAAGAAAATGCATGAGATTATTTAACAGGCTTTCATGTTTAAATAATATTTGCAGATGGAATGTTTTGAGAGGCAGGAAAAGAAATTGTAAAGTTGTTCGTTCGTTCATTCATTCATTCATTCATTGTATTAAGTGTCTTTTAGATGGGCTCTCTAGACCGATACAGAACTAGGGATCTTACTTCAAGAAAGAAAATGTTGCAGGAGCAGACAAGTAATGCACTTCTTGGGAATTCTTCCAGCTCTTAGGTGATGGATTAGGTCTGCTCTTTCGATAAATGGCTCTTGAGCACCTGAAATGTGTCTTGTCCATACTGAGATGTTCCATAATTTTACCAAAAACATTGGATTCCAAGGAGTTAGCATGAAAAAAAAAACCCACAAAATATATCACTGATAATTTTTAATATTGACTGTATGTCCAAATGGTAATATTCAAATTACAATTGGTTAAATAAAATGTATCACTGGGCTGGGGCTGTAGCTCCGTGGTAGAGCGCTTGCCTAGCATGAATGAGGCACTGGGTTTGACCCTCTGCACCATATGAAAACAAACAAATAAAATAAAGGCATTCTGTCCATCTACACTACAAAATATATATCTGATGGACGTGGTGGTGATTATCTGTAATCCTAGTGGCTCAGGAGGCTAAGTCAGGAGGATTGCAAGTTCAAAGCCAGCCTCAGCAACTTAGCGAGGCTCTGTCTCAAAAAAAAAAAAATGCTGGAGATGTGGCTAAGTGCCCCTGGGTTCAATCCCCAGTATAAATAAATAAATAAGTCAGTAAAATTAATTTTAGGGCTGGGGCTATACAGCTCAATGGTACTTACCTAGCATGAATGAGGCCCTGGGTTCCATTCTCAGCAGCGTGTATATGTGCACACACACACACACACACACACGAGACACACAGACACACACAAATTAATTTCTCCTGGGTACTCTTTACTTTTAACGTGAGTACTACCAATCTTAAAACCTTGTACACTTGTACGGTAAACCCCTGGTATCCATGGGTTCTATATCTTCATAATTAACCATCTGTAGATCAAAATATTCAGAAAAAATAAAATTGTGTCTGTACTGAACACATTCAGACTTTTTTCTTGTCATTATTCCCTAAACAATATGTTGTAAGAGTTACCGACATCGCACTTACATTGTATTATGTACATCTAGAGATTATTTGAAGTCAAGAGAGCTGAGTTCACAATTTACAGGCAAATAATATGCCATTTTCTAGGGGATTTAACCAGCTGAGGATTTGGGGACCTGAGGGGTCCTGGAATCGATCTCCCTCAGAGTTGAGGGGTGGGTCAGACGCTCAGAATTCATTTCCATCTTCAACTTTCTGTGGAAACTTTAAAAAGTCTTTATATATTTAACGGAGACACAATGGCTCTATACAAGGGAGATTTGAAGAGTTTCTCAATTTAGGGAAATTTTGTGGCAAAGCTGGGATTTTGTTCTCCCAGAAGATAAACTTTAAACAAGGGCACACGGGTATGGGAATGGAAGATGGAGGCTGTGGGGTTGTAGGTCAGATAATGCCATCTAGTCTCTGTTGGAAGGTCCGTGCTAAACTGGCACTGTGTCAGGTTCCTTCGGCCAATTAGAGCAAGAGTTGAGGGAAAAACAAAACAAAAAGAAAAAACACTTCTAAATGCAGTGTCCTGACTTACAGGAGCCCCAGGGACCGAGTTCCTAAAGCCTCAAGGAGCAAGTCCAGATGAGAGCATTTTAACTCAGATTCATAATTAAAAATGGAATTCCACGAGTATAATGTCCACGAGTTTCTTTGAGCCCGGAGCTCACCAGCTTTTAGGGAATGTGTTAAAAAAGTAAAATTATATTAAACTCAGAGAAATGCTCATCACGGTAGCCAGAGGCTCCTCTCCCCCTAAGTGGATTGAGCTGGAACTGAATGACAGCCTCTCAGTCTCAGGGTTGTCTGCCCACCAAGAGCCACATGGCAGACAGGCCCTCGGACGGTTATGCAAGGTGTGATCCACAGAACTGTAAGGACTCTGTGTAGGGTGCTGGGGGGTCCCCAGGCTGGAGTAGGGGCGTCCTGTAGGGGAAACAGTCCCTTCTCCCTCGATTCTCATTTTGCAGTCATTGATCTAGACACGGGATTATTTAAGCACATTAGATGACCTTTGGGATCTGATTTGAAATCTACAAAAATGAGGAAGTTGACCATTGAGACGAAAATGCAATATCATACTTTAACCTTGTGTCACATTCAAGGGACTTTCTAGAAAAGAGTTTGGGGTAAGATCCTCCAAAGCTGAGTTTCCTTTTGTGAAGGATTTTAGTCAGTTGGTTGCTTTTTCTAGTAAATACTGACATACCAGGTGATTTCATTTCATTTTTCGGATATACATTATCCAGCAAGGAGAACTCTGACCACTATTTTCTCTGTTCAATATAAAGATGCTATTCATAGAATTCACCTGTGGCACCACAATCCCATTTCAATGTATTCCCTGCTCACCTGTATAGTACAGTAGGAATTTGAGCTAATTTACAGTAGGTGCTTATCTATTATACCTCTACAATTAAAAAAACAAAGGCAATTTAAGCAAATTTATTTACCACATGTTTGGAGCAGAACACCATTGATAGTCCTGGGGCTCGGTGGGGTAGGAGAAAAAAGAACAAAATAGTTTTTTTTTTGTTGTTTTTTTTTAATCCAGGGGGAATTTTATGCTTAAATATGGGCTTTTTAGATAAATACAAGGCAGAGAGGATAATGAGTATCACATTGCCTTTTCCTTTGGTCAAAACTATTTTTTAAAAATTTATAGTGGGGCTCGGGAGATAGCTCAGTTGGTAGAGTGCTTGCCTCCCATGCACAAGGCCCTGGGTTCAATCCCCAACACCACAAAAAAAAAGAAAGAAAGAAAAAAGGTGAATATTGAGGCTGAGTGCAGTGGCACATACCTGTAATCCCAGTGGCTCAGGAAGCTGAGGCAGGAGGATCGTGAGTTCAAAGCCAGCCTCAGCAAAAGCGAGATGCTTAGCAACTCCGTGAGACCCTGTCTGTAAATAAAACACAAACTAGGGCTGGGGATGTGGCTCAGTGGTCAAGTGCCCCTGAGTTTAATCCCCGGTACCCCCGACAAAAGTCAGTAAATAAATAATTTAAAATTTATAAACAATAGAAATAGGTTGCTCATGGTTCCTCATGAAGACTAGGAAGTTCAAAATCAAGAAGCCAGGAGATTTAGCGTCAGGTGATGATCGGATTCTCATAAGTCTGCTTCTGTACATATCCTCTGTGGAAAGAGAAGGGACAAGAGGGTTCCCTCCAGCCTCTTTTTAAAAATTTCTATTATGTAGATGTGTGTATATATGGACACGTGTGCTTGTGTGTGTGGTTTTATTTCTTATCTTCGCAGTAGTAGAGATAGAACCCAGGGTCTCACCTTGCCGGGCAAGCACTCTACCACTATGCTGTACCCCCTGAACCCCTTCATTTTTTTTAAGATACATAAATGTCACAACTATTTTTAGTCTCGACTGATTCAGCAGTTGAGGCATCCTGAGATCCCACTAGGTCCCCCTGAGATCCCACTGGTTTCCCCCTTTCCTTTGCTGCTAAATATTCCGATGTGTGGCTACACTTTTTATCTCTTGGCCTTTCCTCTAGTAGTCACTCAGCACAGTTTAGTCAGCCCATCAACAGTTACTCCCTCGAGGTTTCTCCAATAGTCCAGGCAATGGAGTCAGACAGTTGGGTGAAGCCTCACTTGCAAGCTGTGTGACCCTGGGCAAGTTCTCCCCGTCTTCCTAAACCTCATCTGTTAAACAGGCATAAAAGTGGTGCCAAGTCCCAGCGCTGGGTGAGGATTAAAAGAGATTATGCACATAATGCCCTTAGCCCAGAGCCTGGCATTCTGTAAATCGTGACTACATTTATTATCTCTTTCCTGCCAACCGCACCCTGGCTTCGTACACAGCACCGTGCCAGGAAGGTGATTCCAGAAGCCTGAGCATCTCTGGGAGCCGCTGAGAGCCCTGCCCCACCCTCAGACCCACACAATCAGAATCTCTGGGGATGGACCTCAGCCATCTGTGCTGATGACAGGTTCTCAAGGCCAAGGGTAAGAAGCATCATCCACAGATCCCGGCTTCCTCCCACCTCCCGGAGATTCTGCACATGGGCACACACCTGACTCTCTCCTTCTGCCCCACCTCATTCCTGGGAACAGTCTGGCTCAGGTGTGGGAAGAAACTGAGGTGGATTCTGGGAAACGGCTGTTGACTCAGGACTTCCGGATGGGTAGACCCGGGTGTGGAGGGCACTTGGCCCGGCCCTGCCCTCAACACAGCTGACAGGAAGGAGAACTGAAAGAGGATTAGGCAGGCCCTAGCGGGGAGGGAGGCGGGCCTGAATCCCTTGCAGGAAGGTGAGGCCTCTCAGCCCTCAGGATGCAATTCACCAACTAGAGCTCCACTGGGTGCTCCTGGGGAGGAGCAGGGAACTGCCCTCCCCCTCACACCCCCAGTCTCCCACAGTGGCCTTGAGCAATGCCTGTGTCCCACCTGCTGTACCTGGCTTCCTCCATGGCTGTACCAGAAAGACCCCCCCCCCCTGCTCCTGTCATCCCATCATTCCAACTAATGTCATCCCCAACCTTGATCTCCACCCATTTTAGTCATAGCCAAGGGAGTCACGGCTTTGCCAAACTTGGGAAGTCCTGAGCTCCCTCAGGCCAGGGTTTTACTCATCCCCTTGCAGCTGGGCCCTGTCTGGAGGTGGGGGCTACAACTTGGGACCAGGTAGACCTGCCCACATCTAGCATCCCCGACTCCAGGTCCCTGGGACCCTGATAATGGGCCCCAGACTGATTTCCTTTCTTCTGATCTCCTTCCCTCCCACCCACTTCTCAGAAGTCCCCCCCAGAGAGCACTTAAAAATGCAATCACTTTAAACTCCCTGCTGAGAATTTCCTACTGGCTTCCGGTCCAATAGAGTAGAATCCACATGCCTATCTGAGACATACCAGGCTGTGCGTGCTCATTCTAAAAGCCTGTGCCAACTCTGTGCCCTCATCTCCTTCCTCTCTGTTCTATCAGCTTCCAAACCTATTCCTGCCCCAGGGTCCCCCTCCTGGGGTGCTCTTTCCAAGACTGGCTCCTTCTTGATCACTCACCTAGCATCCCATCTCCTCCTCCCCTTGGTTTTCTTAGTAATGTTTATCACTCTCTAAAATTATAGTCTATTACTATTAAATTGCATGAGTTGCAATTTAATATTACTATTAAATTGCATAAAAATGAGTTGACTCATTTTTATCAGCCACCTTTAAAATCTAGAGGCTCCTGGAGGCAGAGGTTTGGGTGGACTTGTTCACTGGCCTCTTGCTGGTCTCCTAGAAGCTGGCAACCCAAGGAACTCAATAAACAGTTGCTGAATGAATGGATGAACATATGAATGCACTTGGAGTGTTTTTTTTTTTTTCCTTTGGCACCAGGGGTTGGACCTGGGGTGGGGGTGGGGGCTTCATCACTGGGCCACATCCCCAGTCCTTTTTATATTTTTTATTTAGAGGCAGGGTCTCGCTGAGTTGCTTAGGGCCTTGCAGAGTTGCTGAGGCTGGCTTTAAACTTGGGATCCTCCTGCTTCAGCCTCGAGTCACTGGGGTTATAGGCGTGTACCACCATGCCCAGCTAACTTCTATCGACTAGCAGATTTTGTGCCTAACAGATGTTTGCTTAAACAAACACACTGAGGGACCCACAGGACTGTTCCCTAGGTGGGGCCACCAAGTAGGATCTGAATTTCCAGTTCTGTTCTTGGGGTCTGGATGCTCGGGAGGGTGGAGAGGGGAGTTCCTGGGGCCCTGATGGTTGGCCGGGCTCTCTGGAATTGAAGGAGTGGGACCCACAGAAACCACATGCTCTTCTGTACAGAGGCAGAGCATGTCTAGAAAGTGCCTGTTTAGTGGATTAGGCCTGGGTTCTAATCCCATCTCTGTCCTCCGGCTGTGTCAGCTTGGATTATTCTTCATCTAAGGGATAGAAACAAAAAAATACTGTCTATATCTGCCTCTACCCATTGGAATCTTAGATTTCTGTTTTTTTGTTAAGAATGGAGCCTCAAACCTTGGATTGGTACCTGGGATATAGAAAGTACTTAAAAGTATGTGTTAAATAAATGATTCTACTATTAATCTTCCCACTGTTCACTGAAAAGTACAGCAGCATCATAGAAAAAGTCCTAGTTGCATTCTAATAGAACACGTGGTGGCTCTCTCTAATTTGTAGTTCTTTCTTTGCTTTCTCTTTAAAGCTCAGCTCATAGAAGGTGCTTTAAATATTGGCTTAAATGAGGCTTCAATTCCTCCTAGACTTGAAAGGCCAGAGTTCTAGAAAAGGGATCTGAAAACATTGTCTATAAAGGGCCACACAATAACTATTTTCTGTTTTGCAGGCTACGCAGTCTCTGTCAAAACTACCAAGTGGCCTGAAATCAGCCATAGACCATACAGAAGTAAATGGTCAATGGTTGGTTTCTAATAAAACTTTATTGACAAAGCCAGGTGGGGTGGGGGGCAGGACCTGTTCTAAAGGAGACCATAAAGCCTGAAGTGTAGTTCTGTAGGTCACAGTTTTCTCATCTGTAAAAGGAGTTCTTACATGAACTTGAAAAACTGCCTCTTAACTATATATTTTTAAATTAAAAAAGATTTTTTTTAATTAGTATGTGAGTAAAATGAGGAAGTGATTCCTCTATCAGCTAGACTACAAATCAGACAAATGGCTCTTTAACAATTTCATTTCAAATCAAGGGCACGTGCGCATCCTCTACAAAAGTTACATCCCCAACTGACCACATTCTGTGCAAACATGTGGCAGCAGATAAAACAGGCCACCCTAAACGGTTGCCTAGTACAGAGGCAGAAATGAAGAATAAACCAGCCGAGCCGGGCTGCCGTTTGCAATAAAAGAAAACTGTCCTCCCCCCTCCCCCAACCAATTGTTAAGGTTCAAATTTTTCTTATTGTTTTTTGACTTCCTGGTCTGCTGTTACTTTGTGAGCTGCTGTACAGATTGTATCTTAAGAATTTATTGCCCCTTTTATTGAAATACGCAGGTAACCTTGTTTTTTGTTTCACCTTTGCACTGCCTGGACCTCTGGGAATATGCATTTGTGTCAGGCTAAGTCCATTGGGGTGTTTTTTAGCTGAACAAAGAAACCATTTTCTTTGCCACTTCTGGAAGCTTCAGGATTTTCCAGATCAGCTTAAATTGCCGGTGGTTCCTGTCCCTCTCACCTTCCTTCTAAGGTTCCTGATTTCCTTGTGCTTGAAGGAGCTGACTTTTCAGGAGGACTTTGTACCTAGCATCATTTTTTAACTTCAGTTGCGAGTTGACAAGGAACCGAATCTAAACAAGCTTAATCAAAAAAGGGAATTTGCTGACTGGCTTTAACGAGCAGAACAAAGTAGACAGGGTGTGGCTTCAGGTCTGACTTATTCAAGTCTGAAAGGATCCAACGTGGTCTGTTTTAGCATCAGCTTCCTAAACTGTGGGCTCTGTCTTTGCAAGACTGCTGCCAATCATCCCAGGTTCAAATACAGCAGAAAAAGGGAAAAACCTTTGGCTCAGCATAAAAAAAGCTCAGTTGCATGCACAAGGCCCTGGGTTCAATCCCCAGCACACATACACACACACACACACACACACACAAAGCTCACAGCTCCTCATGGTCTCTGATTGGACCAAGAGCCTCTCCTTGAGCAAACCATGGCCAGCAGCTTATGAGATGCTGATTAGCTCAGACCCATGTCACATGCTCTAGAGTCCTATAAGTCCCCCAAAGTAAATGGGCTGTTGTGAGAGCTTGGACCGGCTGCCCAGGATCTGGGTCCGGAAGGAAACTGGACAGCGAAAATGGACCGCGCTCCTGTATTTTCAGAGAAGCCAGAGGGAGTGGTGGAAAACATAATTTCAAAGAAATTCTACAAATATGATCACAGTTCTTAAGGGGGGTAATTTAACCAGTTGTGGAAGTCCCTAACTGGTAGATTATCTAGGTCATTAGGAGAGGAGAGTTTCGGGATGGGACCCATTGAGTGGGATGGGTCTGTACTTTCAAGATGGTCCCAGGTGATTCAGAAGGTCGGCTGGAGCAGGGAATCCTCGGATGTGCCCCTGCCCCAGCACAGGGGACAGTCGGCTGGTTGGTTTATGTTTGAAGCTGTCCCATTGCCTGCAGCATCAAGCCCACAGAGCCTGGCTCCTGGCGCCTGGACTTTTCTGGTTTATCTCACTGATGTTCAGCTTGCACGTTTGATTGGTCAGTCTAGAAAGTCAGTTTCCACAAAATGCCTCCTACCTTTTCCATTTTCCTGTCCTTTCTTATGTGACGTCTTCTGAAAGCCCCCCTCTTCTTCCTAACCGTGACTGACACCTGGTCTTCACTTCACCCTGTCTTGGAAGTCTGGCCGGATCACCTACCCAGAGGACTTAAGAGGATAAGTAGAGTTTTTTCTTAAATAAAATGAGAAATGCAGAAAACAAGACTGAAGAAAAAAGATCGATAGATTTGAAAACTAAAAAAAAAAAAAATTAGACATTTCTACATGGGAATGAATGTAGATCTTAAAGTTGACAGATGAGAAGGAAAAAAGTTGATGATACTTATAAACACCAAATTTCACCAATGATATATTCATGATTTGATATGCAAAAACTAACACCCCAACCAAAAATGGGCAGAGGATAAAAATGGGCAACCCCGAGAAGAGGCAGGACAAGAGCCGGGGTATGGCATGATGCCGGGCGACATTGCAGACAGGGAACAAAGAGTGAAATTAGCCAGATGTCAGTTTCTACCCATCCAAGGTTCAAAAAATTTAAAACAACCCATAACATCCCGAGCCAGAGGGTGGTGAAACGGGCATCTTCTCCATTGCCCATGGGGGTATGAACTGCTAGAAATGTTTACCAAAGTAGATTGGAAACATCTCTACAATAAATGATGTTTATATCCTTTAATTGAACCACTAATCCTATTTCTAGAATCCAACTGTGCAGCTTGCAAAATAAAACCACAGATGTAAGACTATAGGTATAAGGATTATTTCAGCTCCGTTTGACGTAGGGGAGGGGAGGAGCACTGACTACCCCACCGTAAAGGAAGAATCACAACGAGATCTGTATGTGGAGGGGAAATGACCATGATCTGTATGGCTTACCATTTTTATAAAAAGGTGATAAAACCCTTTCCAGGTATCTATATTTCTACATGTTTATGAACACCTAGAGAAAGGTGTTATGGTCACCTACCAA